AAAAAAAAAAAAAAAAAAAAAAAAAAAAAAAAAAAAAAAAAAAAAAAGAGAGAAAAAAAAAGAAAAAAAAGCTATTTTCTACAGATTAAATTTTTCTCGTATTTTTGAAAAAATAATATTAAATCGTATAATCATTCATTTTGTCAAACTTCCTCTGTCAAACTTGAACTCTCGTGAGATCTCACAAATTCTCCTAACTTTTGCTGAGACTTATATCAAAGCCTCGATAAAACATGTGCGCGCACGAACCTACACACTGGACCATCTTCGCGTTTCGCGAAGCTTCAGGAAGATATATTTGGTAACGAACGTGTGTTTCCGTCACTTTGCCGCGTACAATACTGGCGTGACCGTGTACGTGTGTTACCTCTGCATACACGCGTGAGTATGTTGTCTTCTCTCGTCGCACGAATCTCACAATTCGTGAATTGGAAGAAAAAAAAAAAAAAAAAAAAAAACCAGCGTCGGGAATCGTGACTTTCGCGAGTTTGGTTATCTATCTAAGCGAGCTTTGCAGTCTCGTTCTCACAAAGAGTTGACAATGGCTGCGGCGCCAAAGAAAGGAAGATATACGGAGGATCGGTCTGCTCTCTCTCATCACGACAGACATACAAGCAGCAACAGCTGGACACGCGTTTGTCGTCAACCGCGACAGCAGCGTCGAAACGATGACGACGCCGATAGATTCAGGCTGTCACTCGTGTTCATCCTGGATCAGCTAGACGGCAACTCCGAGCTCTGTGTATGCGACAGCTCCAACAAGTGGACTTCAGACAATGGCACCTCTCTTGTGCGAGCGCTTTGTTTTCTCTGCACAACACGATTTGTAATACGTATATATGTATTGAGAAATCAATAAATTTTCAATCACGGATTGCGCGCGAAAAGAAATTACCTTTCTCCGAAAGGGGAAGCAGCCCTTATCCTCATTGTTTGACGACGGATGGTTTATCAATAAATCTGGCGTAGGCGTATTATTAGGACCTAACACGTTCAGCTCCTTAAAACATTCAGTCTCTATCATCTGCAAGAAGAGAAATAAAATCGATTTGGACTTCGTTAATTCCACGATCTCCGTCGCGAACATGTGCGCAGTAAGCAATTTAAGGTCGCTTGGGAGCTAAAGGCGGTTCGTGCGTAACGCAGCATCTTGCGACTTTAAATATCCAGTCAAGTAACGCCAGTGATAACGAGGAGCCTTTCACGTTGAGCCTCTGACGTACGAAAACACTTTGTGCGAACACCGTATTTTTCAATTTAAGTGCTTCAACGGTTTCCTCCTCCAGATGTTCCGATACGAGTATCTCACTCGGAAACAGGCGCGCTCTCTCTCTCTCTCTCTCTCTTCGACCACCAATCGATAAGTCAAACTTCTGAAGTGAATTTAGACAACAAAATCTCATTGTTCTGTTTTGCGACTTTATATTCCGGTTGAACTTATTTGCGCAAAATTTTAAGCGAAAAAAAAAAAACAAATAAACGACTTTACAAAAGGTGCACAAGAACGAATTCAAAAGAATCAAAGTATATAAGAGTTAACACGGTGGAAAATAATGGATGAATGCAATTTCTTTTGCTTCACAAAGCTCTTGTTTTTAAAGCCCCTCGATACTTCCGCGGCCATCTTGGACGTTAAAAGCAAGGAAAGTAAAAAGAAAGATTTCTGCCTGCTCTCTATGCCTATTAGTTCTAATGACGACCTACGTTGCCGTCGGAGCTTGATGCTCGAGTATCGAGGAGTTTTAAGGACGTTGCATCTTCAGACAAAAAAAAAAGATTGCGAGAAACATTATTGAAATAAAAGACGATTGAGCTTTATCTATATTCAGCAAATACGTTTCAGACAGATGTTAATAGCTATTGAAGCTACTGTCGATACGAACGCTCGAGACACACGCGTGGGCGATCGAAGAATGCAATTTATTTTCGTGTTATAATGAAGATCTTGTTAAGTACTCGTCTCTGCTAAGTTATGCGCACCAAGTCGATGTTATTGTTACGATTAAGGGTCAGTGATCTGAGAGACACGACGCGTCTCATCATTAGCAACACGAACGTGTCAAGTCTATGATGGAATATTTTACCTCATTTTGCCATGGAATGGACACACTGCCGGTGTTAAACTTGCTGTAAAAGGTGTCGTCCGTAGCATCTAAATTGACACCTTTCACCGTGGAGAACTGCTCGATGTCCAGAACGTCCTTAGCGTAAACCGCACGAGGCTATAAACGACGATTAATGATTTTTGATTCAACGCGCGCGCTTATGCACGTGCATTAATTTAAATCCTTTGTGAAAACAGTTCGATGGTTCAACGTCAGCATAAAGTAGAGTAGAGCGTTTTGTACATACGGTAAACAAAAACAAAACCGCGCGAGAGACGCTTCATAAATCTTCTGAAAAATTCTTTTACTCGAGGAAACTCGAAAATTCTGATTTTCGACGAAATTTTTGCTTCTCCTTTTTCGCAGAATTTAGACGTAAAGAATAAATCTAAACTCTCGTTTTATACGAGAGAGTGCAGTAAGTAGACGAACAAATGGATTCAATATAAAAACGCGCCGAACAAGCTTGAAACGAGAACAAAGATAAAAAGGAAGAACATAGAATCTCGCCGCGTGAACGAGATAATCAATCGCAATGACACCTACTTACATCCGGCACAAACGGCGGTTCCCATATACCGGCTTCGACCCTCTTCCAGTTTAAGCATTGGAAAAAATTGTGGAGCTTCACCTCCTTCGCCCCGTGTCGGTTACACTTACAGCCAAGCCTATTCTTCGGGCTCTTTTTCAACAGTTGCTGGCACAGATTCTTCGCGTCCTCCGTGAATTTGGACGAGTACTTTTCCTGATCCTCCTTGACTCGTCTGTCGACCTCCTCGCGCTTGACTTTTTCCTTGCGAGCGCGAAACGGCGCCTGGCCCTCGATCATCTCGTACAGCAGACAGCCGAAGCTGAACCAATCCGGCGAAAATGTGTATTTCTCATTGTCAATCACCTCCGGCGCCATGTAACCTACTGTACCGACTCTGCCGCGCACCATGTCGCCCTCCGTAATCTCTACCGCGAGACCGAGATCGGATATCCTCACGTGGCCGTGATCGTCCAGCAGAATGTTCTCCGGCTTGCAGTCTCTGTAGACAATACCCTGCAGATGAAGATGTTCCAGACCGCACACGACCTCGGCAGCGTAGAATCTGGCGCGATTTATGTCAAAACCGGGCTCAACGCCCATATTGTAAATGTGAAACTTGAGATCGCCGCCGTTCATGATGGTCAGCACGAGGCATAGCGCGTCCTTCGTCTCGTACGCGTACGCGAGCGAAACCACAAATCTGGAATTGATCTTCTGCAAAATGTTCTTCTCGATCAACACCATCGACTCGCCCTTTCGTTTTTTGATCCGCTTCTTCTCCAGTTTCTTACACGCGTACATCTTTCCCGTTGCACGCACCTGACAGGCGCACACCTCGCCGAAGCCGCCCTTGCCCAGCACCCGGTACATCCGAAAAGTCTTGTACGTCACCGGTTGCGCCTCCAGCCATTTCCACTGGAGATATCTAAGCAGTCGTGAGAAAAAAAGTCGCTCCATTGTGATCGAAACTTAAACAATTTTATCATCTTCGCAAAAATCTCGTAAAAAGTTTTCAAACTTTAGCAATCTTTTTTTTTTTTTTTCAAAGAAAGAGATACACAGGAGATCGTCAACAATTCTCTCGATTCTAAAAGAAAAACTTTTCTTCCGCGCAATTTGACTTCTGACGCTTTACCTGTAAAAGTAGAAACTACTAAGAAACGCTGAGAACGGTTCCCCGGCGAGGAAGTTCTTCACAGTCTGCGCGATCTCGAGAAACAGCTCTTTGCCGCCAGTGCTAAGTCGTTCCTCGCACTGAGAAATAAGAGAGTCGTTCAAGATGTCGATCACTTCCGAGCCTTCTTGCCTCAGGTACTGTTCGAACAGTTCCTTCGCGTGCTCGATGCGATTCTCGTCCAGTTCAACTTCGTACTTCTCGATCGCATCAAGGAAGAGATTGTAATAGTGGTAGGCGGGTTTTTTGTCTTGACAGAACTGTCGGAAAAGCAGCCGTCCGATCGGCTGCTGGTCCACGACATATCCGTACTTGATGTCTGATCAACATTACGATTCATTCGATTATTTATTGACTGGTTTATGACGATTCGCGTCATCTTCGACGAGTTCAATTTCTTCATCGAAGCTCTTTCGATTGTTTTCAACTCGATTTACTCACCTAGTTTATCTTTTAGGCCGATGCACTGGGAAATGTGTGGAAACTGAAGTATCTTCCGCCATTTCCTGCTCTTTCCCTTGTTGCTGTCGGCACCACCTGAATAAAAATAAAAATAAATTTCGACTTGCAATACCGTGTTACGTGACATCTTCACGGCGGACGGGCGTAGCGAAATATTGGATTGGAAGTGCCGTAAGTTACGGAATTTACTCGAACGAAGAGATAACAGCAGATATTGGATCAGCGTTACAAGATTTATCCCGGCGCGCTTCGTAGAACTCGAAACGACGTTGAATCCCATCGCGATAGAGGCTAAACGGAGAAGAAAGTTATTCCCTCTCTCTCGCCGTTCATAATTCACATCGGAAGAAATATGTATCTACACTCGTTGGTGCTTTTTTTTGTCTAATATTTGAGACGTAAAAAAAATTATCTACTCTCCGACTAAATTTTTCTTGAAAATTTTCAATCGAAGAAACAACTGCAAAACAATTAAAAGAACGCGCAAAAGTAAAATTTAATTATTGCGTGAATTCTTTTTGCGTATTTAACTTTAATCTAAAATCTAATTGGAAAAAAAAAAAAAAGTAATCTCGAGAGTGAACGATGATCAATTTCAAAGTAATGAAAGTAATAAAAAGATGATGAAAGAAAATGAACGAGAGAAAAAGTTCTTAAGCGTTTTCCATACATTCGTTAAACGAAATTCTACGGTTACGATAAAAAAAAAAAAAAAGACGTTGTGAGTATTCGCCGAGGAGCTCCCGCAAAATTCTCCACACGATGAGACCGTATCGATCGTGCGGAAAAACGGAAGGGACACGGAAAAGCGGTGGGAGATGTACGAGACGCATAGTCCTAGTTTTTCGCTTCCGTGAACAGCTCATTGTACAGGTCATCTCAAGAGAGCTATATCACCGTTGAAATAACTGAGAAATAATAGATTATCTGACAGAAAAAAAAACCGAGAGAATCCTATATCACGGAGAACCATGTGCACGGCACAAGAATTTTCTTTTTTTTTTTTTATTTTTATTCGCGCATTTAGCGCACACAGTGTTTAATAAAAAAGCTCCGCGGCTCTAATGGAAATAACGACGAGAAAAACGTCAAGTAAACGAAAACACAAATAGCTCAAGAACACAAATTAAATAAAAATAAATTGAATATAAGTCAGGAGATATTTTTTTTAAAACTCGTCCGCGCGGTTTTGTTCAGCGTCTCTCGAAACTTTTTTGAAACATTGTTACAAATAAATTATGTAAAACAATTTTCTCGTTAAACAAAACAACACAAGACACGTTGTGGTGGTCGTACTTGACCAAATAAATTATGTAAAACTATTTTTTTTCGTCAAACAAAACAACACAAAACACGTTGGTGGTCGCACTTGAAAATGAAATTTTTCAACACTTCGAAATTAAATAAAAAATGCATCGTGATTTAAAAAGCGTCATTCAAAAAACGATTTCGAAACATTTTCTCCGAGTAAAAATTATACGCGTCAAAAGATGTAACCGAAAGAGAGAGAGAAAGTAGTTCGAGCTCACGGTGCTGACTTTTTATTCGAGACACCCTGTACTCTTTTACCCCGTGCATGGGTCCCGCTCGTTCGATCCCTAACGAACGGAAGTCGGAGGTCGCGTAGCTCCACCTTCTCTCCCACATCGGTAGAGGAAAAGAGGAAAACGAGGGATACAGCGCGCGCGGCACATCGTACGTGCGATCACGAACTGTACAAAAAAAAAACGAAAAACCACGACACTCTCGCAATCGGTAAACCACGTGAGAAAATAAAACGAGCAACAACGCCCAATCCCTTTTTTTGCAATTCCGCGCGATTCAAAAACAATTCATACGGAAATGGAACGAATAAAAAAAAATACCCGATAGAATGTGAAGTGTTACGAAATATTTAAAACATATTTTTCGTTTATTTATTACGTTTTGTTTAACAAGTTTATCGACTTTTGCAATTAAATTTTTTATATTCGTCTGTGTGATTTTCACTGCGTATATATCCTCTTGTTGTTGTTTGCGCGTGTGTGTGATTTAAGATAATTATTATTACTCTGCAGGGAAATTTATCCGCGCGACAAAGAGTTTGCGCGTCCCGGCCGCGTTTGTGGAATTTTCTCATGCCCTGTCGTCATCGCATAATTATATCAGCATGCGACAGGCACAGTCCCATAGACTTCGTTTATGATAATTGAGCTGCGTGAATCCTCTTTGCTGTCATTATGATAATTGGAGTTTCCAGTGGCACAACAAAACGTGACTTTCGATTATAACGCTCGTTTGCATATTATTTATCCGGTGCGACGAGTCTTGAAATCACAGAAGAATTACCTCTCGCCGGCACTATCGCGTCGTTATTTAACGACAAAATTTACATACGAAACAACTTCTTACTTATAAAAATGTATAAATAAAAAGTTAATTATAATAAAATTTAACCGATTATATCTTTACGTAGCTCGTTGAATATTTTAATAAAAAGAGATAAGGAAATGGCAATATTAAGCTAACACCAGATGTTCGGGTACAATTATTTTATAATTCGGAGATTTTTTTTAATTTTTAACAAACGTTTCGATCCACTACGGGATCTTTTTCAATGTTTTAATAAAAACTTAAACAAAAAAATAATGATCTATTCGAGATCATGAAGAATATGGATATATATCTTTTCTTATCCATATTCTTCATGATCTCGAATAGATCATTATTTTGTTGTAAATTTTTATTAAAACATTGAAGAAGATCCCATAGTGGATCGAAACGTTTGTTAAAAATATTTTTTTAAATCTTCGAATTATAAAATAATTGTACCCAAACATCTGGTGTTAGTTTGATATTGCCATTTCCTTATTTCTTTTAAAAATTTTTAACAGACGTTTCGATCCACTATGGGATCTTTTCAATGTTTTAATAAAAACTTAAACAAAAAAATAATGATCTATTCGAGATCATGAAGAATATGGATAAGAAAAGATATATATCCATATTCTTCATGATCGCGAATAGATCATTATTTTTTGTAAATTTTTATTAAAACATTGAAGAAGATCCCATAGTGGATCGAAACGTTTGTTAAAAATATTTTTTTAATCTTCGAATCATAAAATAATTGTACCCAAACATCTGGTGTTAGTTTGATATTGCCATTTCCTTATTTCTTTTAAAAATTTTTAACAAACGTTTTGATCCACTATGGGATCTTTTTCAATGTTTTAATAAAAACTTAAACAAAAAAATAATGATCTATTCGAGATCATGAAGAATATGGATATATATCTTTTTTTATCCATATTCTTCATGATCTCGAATAAATCATTATTTTTTGTAAATTTTTATTAAAACATTGAAGAAGATCCCATAGTGGATCGAAACGTTTGTTAAAAATTAAAAAAAATCTTCGAATTATAAAATAATCGTACCCGAACATCTGGTGCTTGATATTGCCATTTCCTTGTTTCTTTTTATTAAAATTTAACCGTATAAAAAATAAGACTATTTAAAGTTATCAACATCCTCGTTTGTGGTTTCTTTTATCTTTTTTCTCTTCCCGTATCTCGCTCTCGAGTTTCGATAGCGTTAACTTTATCCAGTATAAAACTAGTCCCGATCTCCGAAGTTGATATATGATTAACGTCACCAACATACCTCTCTCGCTCCGTCACACGACAAAGCGCCACGACGACGTCACGACGTAGACTGCGAACACAATCAACCGTAATAAAGATGGGATTTCGTAAGCGGGAAAGCCGGCTAACCGCCGGCGCAACAAATCAAGTCATTTCTCGACGAAGCGGCTTGCTAATTAAGGCGAGTACAAGAGACCGCTAATTAACCTGTTACCCCCTCGGTAATGCCCCGGCTGTCCTCTCTTGCGTGCTTACGTAATTCGCAGTGACCGCGCCACTCGAGGCTCTCTCATTTATAAAGTTTATCAAGGCGACACGATTACAAGGCCATTGACGTGCGCTCCGCTCGATTTGCTATCGCACGAAACCCATTTACCTACTTTTCCGACTGTCGCGCGTCGCGCCTACACTCTTCGACAGGACGTAGGTAATATAATTGACCGGTGTGCGCTGACGAGATCCTCCTCCCCAGAGCCGGTTAAGGCTTACATAGTCACAATGTGGCAACGGCATAACGCGACTCTAAGATATATATAATGACGAAAACACATAATCACAATTCCCATGCAAATTTTATTCATGAATTTCGATGTCTCTCCAATCTGCCGAGAGCTAGATTGTGTATGAATATTTGAATTGTATGTGTACACAAATATTTGAGTTCGGTTGAGATTAGGTTGGAAACGCGTAAATGTATATTTCGCATGTTTTGCTTTTTGTGCGATTTTTTTTTTTTTTTTTTTTGAAAAAAGCTCTTTAGAG